ACAAGCCTACAATTACTAAAGAAAACTAAGCATGCCTAGCTAATTGACTCATCTTAGAACTCTAAGTTTTGTTTCCATGACTGACCCATAGGAATGTAAAGTCTTGCCATCTTTCAGCTAGCATGGTTTCCTTAGATCTCATGGAATATCTGAAAATCACCAGTCACCTCCTAACATTTTGAGTATTCTGTCTTTATACTGATAAAGAGGAGAAATGTACAGACAAACATAAATGGCAACAACGCCTTTTTTTTTTTTTTTTTTAACATTCCTGGAATGAAACATGAACATCAAATCAATGAATTACAGGCTGTTACACCCTTGTTGCTGTATGCTCATCCACCCTTGAACATTCCATATGAAATAACCTAACAATCAACTTGAAGTACTTTATAATAGCTTGTTTTCATCCTAAGTCAGTAACAGAATCAGCAGTCCAGTATCTAGAACTAAGACAGGGGTCTTATCCTCAAAGATATAAGCCAGAAATGGTGTTAAGTCTTTGGTATTTTAAGTATAATTTAAAAACACCATCTGTAGGTGCTGAGACTTCTTACAGGGAACAGAAATTTCCCTAAGACAATTCTAGCCATGTTTTTTTTAGTCATTCATAATGTAACATTCACAATTAGTGACTAGCCAGAAGTCACTTAAGATGGGTGACACTTTCTGCTCCCATGGAAAACCAGGAAAGCAAGAGAAGGATTCCCTGCTATGAGATGGTCTTACTGGTCTCAGAGGATCTTTCCAAAGCAACTGAAGCAATGGCCCATCAGATAAGTCAGCTGAAGGTATCCTGAGTGAACACTCTCACTTGTGGATTGTTTGGTTTCCATGGCTCTTGGCAAGTCACTCATGCTAAAACTGCAGATTTTTTTATTTTGTTTTGATTAAACTGTCCTAATGTTAAACACACGTTTGAAGGGCAGTTTACAGGTTTAAACTGCAGTGTTTATAAAAGCTTAGTGTGGATTATCTTGCAAAAAATAAGGACTTCTGGAGTAAGTTATATAGTGACAAATTAATTTTATATTGTTTAACCACATGTCAGTAAACTCAAGGCAAGATAAATCTGTTAAGAAACCATACAGAATGTTTGCTAAGTGGAAGGCATGCTATGTCTGTTTCATGGTGCATCTCTGGCTTTGAGGTGGGCCATATTGTGTTCAGCCTAGTAGGTTGTCTGAGATGAAATACACATGATGGGCACTTGAATTTGCATGCAATACACTGGTATCAGACTTTCTGGCAGTGGACTGCCTGATACGGACCAACTGTGGGCTGCTCTAGCTTCAGGGCATAATTTACAGCAACCTGAACCTCAGTCAATTACTTGAGAAAGAAAGGGACAAAGGTGTGTACAGAGCAGCAACCAAAGCAGGGCAGAGCATCCCTGAACCTACAAAGTTTACTTTATTTCAGCTGTGGTCCAGAAGTTGGAAGTTGCATCTGGGGATGTAATGCTACAGGTCAAGAGATCTGAGGCCAGGTAGACTGAACACGTTTTAGTGAACTCTGGTTTAGTTCTTGACCTAAGAAGTGATAGATAGGCCACGCTGTAGCTTATTAAAGCCTCAACAGGAAATAGAGACACATTTAATAGAGTTCATGTTCCAAACCCATTATTATTGTTATTGTATGCACATGCTGCCTCCAAAATCAGGGACCCACATCACCAACCAACATCATGTATTGCAATGAGATACCAAGTAAGATCTAAATTGAAAGAGCCACACGCCACTGGCCACTGATTGTTTTTCTAGTGAGGGCTTTTGGCAGATCACAGGGAAGCATCTGCACGGATCCCACGGAAGCTGACTGTGCCATATCTGTACTCTAGCTGCATTTGTACCCAGCCTTTAGCTGGCACCTGCTTGCACCCTCCTGATGAAATAGGTTGTGAGAAGATGCCAGAGTGTGCCTGGGTACACTGAGGATCAACACTTGTTCTGGCCTTTAATGTTTAAACAGCTGTGCTGGATTTGCCAGAGGGTGTCTGACAGAGTTGTTAAAAACTGATCCCTGAGTAAACAGCCCAGTGTTATTTACTCCAACTCAGCTGTGATAATTCACACCATCTGAAGAGCAGCCTAATCTGGCATGTCTCTGAGATGTCTGCTACTGCTTTGAACAGAAGGATCCTTGTGGCAAGGGGTTTGTGATTTCCCCATCGCTGATGACTCTGGACAAGACAATAAAAGATACAATGCAATTTAAAAGAAAAGGAATTAATTCAGAATGAAAATGTAATTGCTAACGCAGAAGTCACAGGCTTGTGCTCGTGTAGGACACCCGTGTGTGCTGACGTATTTATAGATGTTGGTTACAGGCACTAACAGAGGAGAAATACAGAGTTTAACCTTCTCTCAGCTCTGGCCAAACTCCTAGTTTGTTTCTTCCTCTTGTTGCACAAACTGTAGAGGCAACTCAAGGAATATTCATTTGGAAACATCCTATAGGGAAGGGAAACAGTGTAATATTCAGGACCACAGTCTTCTAGAAAACTGTGATTTCCTCCAACCTTGATGTGAACATTAAATATATCTGCTAATAGTAGAGCTCCTGATTCAAAGGCGGCTTAACTGCTTGTCTGGGTAAGTGATGATCCAGTATTAGTCCTCAGATCTCTTGACCTGCAGCTTTACTTCCCCAGAAGCAACTCTCATCTTCTTGGCCTCATGGCTGAATCAGTGCTCACTCTCTTGGTCCTTTCTCCATGTTGTCCTGATATGAACTTACCAAATAACACGTCTTAACATTCCTCTTTATGACATATCTGTTGTCATGTCATTCTTACTCTTCAAGATATGCTTCCATCTCTTGCCCTTGATGTCTTCAAAATACCTAGAATAAAAAAGACAGATGTAGATCACCCAATTCACCCAGCTGAATTATCTGTTAAATTGGAAACTTCCTGGAATTAACCCTGAGCAGAATATGAGCAAATCACAAATTGCTCATCAAGTAAATATTGAAGATGTGTATACAGTAAATCTCTGGAGTTTAGTAAAATCAGGACTTAGGGGCATGTGCAACAGCAATTTCTTACCCACTGCTACATTATAAAACTGAGGGAATTGGTAAAAAGTTGTGATGACATTCAAAATTTTGGAGATAGTTTTACTTTGCTGTAAAGCTATATGATTCTGTAATCCTATTTTGGTCATGCTTCCAACAAATAAGATCAAATTAATTATCATCGTTCTAGTTTGCTGGTAGGTGTCCATTTCAAAGGAGCTAAAACTAATGCAAAATTTCTTGAGTTCATCAACTGCAAACTGTCACCTGATTGTACCTGAAAAAGCTTCAGGGTCTCAAAGCATGTGTAACACAGCAATGTTTTGGTTTTAGCTTTGGCTGGTTGGGGTAAGTTCACATAGGTATAAATGATAATGATACAAGACATGTTGACACCACTACTACACTTATAAAAAGAACACACAAATGCACAGTGACACTTCACACGGGGGTTGCACGTAAGACACTCAAAAATTTGAAGTCCAGCGCTGCGGGGAGCCCTCCCCGAGGACTCTTAACTCTCATTAAGCTCAATGTGAGTTGAGAGTGCTTGGTGGCTCGGGTGCTTGGGCCCTCAGTGAGGCTCTGCACATTCATGTCAGAGACAGGAGTAATTTCCCCTTTCTAGTGTGTGTGTGTTTCTAATTGCTAGATTAGTACAATTGCCTGATAATCACGAGTAATAGAAATGGATTTCTGGTACTGAAGTGCTCTTTCTGGAAGTTAATAAAGCTCATTCAACATCGCCTACAGTTTTACAACACGCCGTAATGGAATAATGTAATGAGTACAATGTGAGTACTGTACAAAAGCCAGGGTAAAGTTAAAAATGGATCTAGGATAGTGCTGCTTTTGAATATGAGCAGTGCAAGGTATGAGTTACTTGAGACGGATACAGGAGTTAATCTGTGAACAATGCAGCCCAGCTCACATTCAAGTTCACTCCCTTTTTATTTTCCAGATTTGCTTCCCATCCTTTTCTTCCAGTTGTTTTATATGTGCTCATCCTTGTTAATTCCATAAAGGTGATCATGTTTTTAATTTACACCTTCCAGTTTCCTACTGGAATTTGGCTATTAAAGGGGTTATAAAAACTTCTGTAACAATGTGATAAAAGGACACGGCAGGAAACCAACTCTACTTAAAAATTACAGCATGAATCCCAAGCTAATTTGAAATTTCTAGGAATGTGTAGTCCTGTCAGACGTATCTCCTGCCATTGTTGGAAGGCCTCAACAATTCAGTGATAATTTTACATTGTTTTCACTACGTGCAAAAAGAGGAGTGTTAAATTTAATTTTCCGGGATCCATCCATGTTTTGTATGCCCAGTATGACAGGTTTGTTGTTAAAATGGCACTTTAACTGTATGTGTAAAACCTCTAGTCCCTTCTTCTTTTTCTGCATGAATAAGACAAAGTTGCATTTAGGGAGAAAATGGCTTTGTCTACCTGTAAATGAAGATCTCCTGAAACACAGTCTCATAAGAGGTTGATGGTAATCAGTAATGCCAAATCCCCATTATGGCAGTGGCATTTTCACCAAGTGGATAGTGGATTTTGCAATTAACACACAAAGAATTATTCCTTTCTTGTGTAACAACATTTTAATGTCAGTAAAAAGTGGTTTTATAGTTCAAGATTACAAATAAAAAGTATTTCATCTTGACTCTTTTGCCATTTTCCCTCAGGCAAGTCTTCAAATTTTAGTTAGGAAAAAACCACGAGTTGGATGGATGCTTGCTCTGCAGAAAGCTGAAGGACTCCCTCCCCATTCTGCAATTGCCAGATGCTTTGAAATGGAAGATTTTACTCAAGTAAAGCCTGATGAGTTACTCTCTCTCCCATGGCAGGTGAAACCACAGGGGCTTTTACGACCACCAGATCCTTTCAAGCTGAATCAGCTGGAAGGGCACTTAGAGGAACGAGTCAAGCGCCTCTCTAGCTACAGGACTGCATCAAAAAGGCACAACATAAGCAATGGTAAAGTCAGTAAACAAAATTTTACTGTAATATTTTGTAACACAGATACTGTATTTCTCTTTGAAGTGTAAAGCTACCGTCTTACACAAGAAAGATGGACAGACCCTTTTCCAAGACTAATATGGATACAATAAATATGGAGTTTTACATACTAGATCTGTACACAGAAACTTTGTCCCACAGCCATAAAAATTTACATTTAACAGTGCAACATATAATTTAATCCTTTATTTATCTGACATAGGATGTTTACTTACTAAACACAAGCAACTACCTGGTTTTAATATACATATTTTATATATATATATTTATATATATATATTCAACAATCTGTACAGGTTTCTAAACATAAAACTCCAAAAAGGCACAATTGTCTATACAACATGTACAAAAATGGCTGGAGCTGACAAGAAACAACAATTATTGGTCAAGAGTTCATGATTGCACGAAGATTAGTAATGGGTTTGTGTCAGAAAAATGTGCTTTAAGGAAAGGAAGGTTTGCAAAGAAACCTGCAAGTGTTATTAAAAAAACCCAAAAAACCCTAAAAATAAAAACACAACGAAAAACAAAAACTAGGTTGCTATTACAAGTCTATCCTCATCGTCACTGCTGCCATCGCTAAACTGCACCGTGTTTTGCCGCTGGGGCGGGGCGGCTGGCCTGGGTACCTGTCTGTCCGGGGTGACAGTTCGGTGGACTGGGGACTTGGTTAACGTGTTGGGATTCACCTTGGAGCGGGGCTCTGCCGGGGCAGCCCTCTTCACCTGGAGGGCAGGGAGGTCACGCTTTGGCTTGCTGGGGTTCGTGAGGTCAGTCTTTTCAGGATCAGCTTTCCCAGGACCAACGGGGCTGGTCAGCGGGGTGGGCTCGGGATGGCTCTTCCCACCGTACCGCTGGCCGCCAGCCACTGCCTGAGGAGAAGCATCCCTGCCGGTCAGGCCAGCCTCAGCCACAGGGAAGCCAACAGGAGCTGGCTCCAGGTGGACCTCGCCGGCTTTGGAGCCTGCGGTGGGTGCCTCGGAGGCTCCATGGCCGTCGGCGCTGGCGGGGCTGACGGAGGGGATGAGGGTCGGCAGGGCGATGTTCAGGATCTGCAGGCCGGGAAGGTGTCCCTGCGGGCTGGGGGTGCCCTGCGGGGCCGCGCCGGCCGTCAGCACCTGGAGGCCCACGGCGTTGAGGGTAATTCCCGGAGGGCGCATCTGCGGGGCGATGTTGGTGTTTGCCAGGCCCAGGATGTTCACTGTCTCCATGCCCAGCGGCGGCAGAGGCTGCAGGTTGGGCGTGCCAAGCCCCTGAATGCCCGGCACGCTCACCTGGCCGATGGGAATGCACGGCACCACGCTGTTCACCTCGGCGACTCCCACGGGATTCGTGGTGGTGCCGGTGGCCGTGCCGCCCGTCTCGCCAAGGGCGCTGGTAGTTCTGTGAATCACGCTCACAGCTGGGATAGTGAGCTGCACTGGCCCCGCCTGGATGGGAACAAAGGTGGAGTAGGTGGCCAGGCCGGCAGGGACTACCTGGATGCCCCCGACCGGCACCATGCCGTAGGGAGCCTTGGCTTGCTGCTGCGAGTGCAGGGGCAGGTGGCTGAAGAGGTGAGTCTGGGGAGCTCTTGGCTCGGCAGCCGGCTTCTCCTCCGGGATTTCCGTGTAGGGTGACGGCACCGTGGTCGGCATGCTGTGGTCTGCTGGCGAGGACGGGGAGCTGATGGAGGGCGTGCTCTGGGAGAGAACAACACAGGTGTGTTAATGTTGCAGCCACCGCTGCCCTTCAGTGACATGAAAACACAAGGGAGCTGGGACTGCTTCCCAGGCCCCCCTTTAAGACAGAACAACAAAATGGTTCATAGTATATAGTGCTCAGCTTAAACAATGAACTGATTTCCTTCCTTTCTTTTTTTACCTCCTTCCTCACCCACTAATTGCATTTTCCTCTCCTAATTACCCCTGCTTAATTTCTCTCAAACACTAGTGCTCAAAAACATTGCTGAATATTTTTTGAATGTGTTTTAAGTGGCAAGAAGGCTTTGGAGAACTGTTTTATGTGGAAATCACCCCAGGCAAGAAGGTTAAATAAGCATAAGCTGGAATTTTTGATGCATCGGTTTTGATGCACAGTGAAGGCATTACAGCCTCCGGCAGGCAGAGGCAGCATCACAGCACATTTGTCATAGCTGCTTCTAATGTGGCAGACAGGGTACACAGTGACAAGAGATGGCTGACAACTACAGCTCCTGCAGAGGTGGACGTGATGGGTGGATACTGGAGCGAGATGTAGGACCCACATCCCATCGCTGCCTCAGCTCACTGTGATTTATTCGGTGCACACATCTGGATTTATAATGCTATTTCTATCCTCCCTTTTCTTCTCCTACAGCCTGTTACTGACCAAGGCTTGCAACTCCTTTCCTAGAACCTCCTAAAACAAGTAGCCTGAAAGTTCAATTGCACTCTTATAATTATTTTTTTAATTTAGGCACATTCATCACATACGCACACACTGGTGCAACCTTACTTAGTTTTTACAGTCCTAACACTCAAAAATTCTCTAGAGCAGGCAAAAAACTCAAAACGAGATGGAAATGCTTTTGAAATCTGCTGGTAGAAAATGTATTGGCAAAGGGAGAATGTGATTAGCTGGCTATGCAGCACCAACTTGTCTAAATGAGAAGATGGGTGTGAGAAAGAAGCCGACATCTTTCTCAGAACTGACACCTCACAAGAGATCCTGATAAACTGGTATGGATGCTTTCGAAGGAATGTACAACAGCTTTCCTGAGCTGTGTTGACTCCTTTTCTCCATTGCAAGAACTGGGATCCACAGCCTTTCACAATAGGAAAAGACTGTAGATTAACTACTGGAGACACAAGGCTGATGCTTCTTTTGGTCTGGGAAAGGAAAAGAAAATCTGGAAAGGAATTACTTCCTTGTATTACTTACATGACTTCATTTTTTTTTTTTTGTTTTTAAATATATTAATGTAGACAATTATTAGAGCTATATAAATGAATACCATTCAACATTTTTAATTGCATGAATATTTACTTGAGGCTTCAGTGATTTTATTTAATGAGGGAGTAAACTCAATTAAATGTCCTTCTGGTATCCATTGGCAACAATGGAACCTAAACTCCAAATACTGGGACCCTACCCATTTTATGGCAGGCATATAAAGTGATCAGAGACCACTTCATTTTATACTCTGTCAGACTACAATTTACATTTGACACATGAACTCACAGTTCCTACAGGCAGGGATGAACCTGTGTCAAACGAAACAATACAGCAATAATTTTTACTGTTTCTCCATATCAACAGTTCGCTATCCTAAACTGTGTAAAAAAATGAATTCAGTAATGTAAATTTTCAAAGGAAAAACCAAGTCACTAAGTACTTAAAACAGATTGAAATTTTTACTTTTTATGCTTCTGAAAATTTTCTGCTACTTTTTTTTCAAAAACTGCACACAGTTAGGTTTAGGCTTGGACTCAATGATCCCAAGAATTTTTTCCAATCTAAATGATTACATGGTTCTATATAATATTTCTAAATATTGCACTCATCATGGAGAAGGCAGTGCTTTGATTACCCCTTTAATTAAACTATTTTGTATCTCATTTTTCTGAGCATTACTCTGAAAAGCTCAAATGCCTACATGGTCTGTAGCAAGAATTCAAAACTTCCAAAAGATATCTTTAGGGTCGGTCTGGTAAAGTGACTTGTACCATCCCCATCACAGTCCATTAAAGCCAATCCTGAATTGAAAAAGGCTCAGCAGCTGCTACTTCCCCCTGTGATTTCGTGGGCACAGTTTTAAAAAATACAGTTGCCAAAATTACTGAATGCTCCCACAGACCGGCACACAGACTGACCTCACCTTCCTGCACACTGCTTTGAAAAGTCGCATGTCTAACAAGTGCATGGGCAAAATCCATCCTTTTCTGATTAAAATCTTCTTTCAGCTTGGAGAAAAGCTGAGAGCACTGGGAACTCAGGTCTCAGTCCTGTGCTCATCTCTCCTTTTGTTATTGTGCAAGGGCAATCTCCTAGTTTCCTTGAACATCTGGTGCTCTTTCTAATTCTACTATTAAGCATTTCTGGAGGATAGATAAACAGTTGCACCATTTTTTTTTTTAGCAATAAGGCAAAGAGCTTTGGGACTAGAATAATTTCCCTTTGGAATTACCAGTGATTGTATCATCATATTTCAGAGTGAAATGATTGCTGAATTCTATCACTTTCTCCTGAAAACTTCATAACTACCACCCTATGTTCATTCCACGTATTTGTTATTTCCTCCTGATTTGTAACACAATCTACCAGCTCCAAACATCAGCTGAAATGACCATATTACAATTAAACGTTTCAGGAACAATACAATCAAACCAAAGAATTTGAAAAGCAATGCTCCTACAACATCCTTGTGTCTAGAGTCCTACCTATTTGTGCTTGGATTAATTTTAACTCTTCTGAAAGACTTATCACAAAGAATTCTAAGAATGAAGGGAAAGGCAAACATTTTGATCTTTGAAAAATTTCCAAAGGGATCTTTTCAGAAGGAGGACTTAAAATCCCACACTCTCCCTTGTTTTGGACACTCCTACCTTTGTAAGAGCTGCAGTTGATATTAAGGAGTGGCCCAAGGCTGTATCTGGATCAGAGTAATCCACAGACATGTGGCGACCTGGAGATGCAGGAGCGATGTCCGTCAGTGCTGCATCAGCACCGCAGGGACCCACTACTCTCTCCTGGACTTTGCCCTCATGTGCTTCCTGAAGAGTGGACTCTGCTGGCGACCTGGAGGTCCTGCTGACCGACTGCACTGTGCTAAGGACAGTCATCTTGGTCAGCAGCGCTTTTGGGAGCCCATCCATGGAGTCCGTGTGAGCCCCGGTGAAGCAGTCGGGAAGCCGGATGTCATCGTCGGTGCTGGCAGCATCCTGCAGGCCGTGGCGAGAGGGGTGGTGCTGGGGGCTGGCTGTCACCGAGGGCGTTGTGGATAGCACTGACTCAGCCTGGCTGTCCTCATCGTCGTCCTCATTGTCATTTTCATCTTCATCGCCACCATCAGACTCCTCCACATCATATCCTGACCGGTCATAACCAAATCTTTGCTTCTCACCTGCAAAAGTGGAAGGAGAAGTTATGACAATGAAGGCCCGGGACTGACTGGGAAGGAAGCAGGAGAGAACAACTAAAAACACCAAAAAAACACATGGCCCGTGTATTTTCCACTCACACCCCACTGCATCAAAGCAACAGGGAAGACTTAAATTTTTGTTGTTTTTATTTTCCAGCTTACATACTTAACTATTATAGCTACTTAATCTTTCATCTTCTGCTTCTATGTTGTTTTTAATCATCTGGATTTCGCCATTTTCCTTCATGCCATTTGTAATAATTTGCTCAAAGTCACCCTTCACTCTTGTGCTCAGGGAGCAGTGAGTGGATTCCCGGTTCATTAGGTTCCCTGTGCTGATGTGTGGGGCTGGTCTGTCAACCTTAGCCATGGGATATTCTCTGGCTGGTTCTGACTCATAAGTGGGTGTCCTTGTACCTCATATGAATCATGGCTGCAAAGGTTTTTGAAGGATTCAAACAGAGAGACTGGAGGCTGTTAGTCAAGAATCTGCCTCGTTAACAGGCAAAAGAGACCAAAATTAGACCTTACTAGATTTCTTCACTTCACTAATGTTTAGAAAGGTTTATTAAAAAATTACCCAAAATGTCCTAGGAGCCAAGAAAGCATTAATCATATAAAAACTTACCTCTTACCTATGAATCTCTGTTTGCATAAAAAAGCCCTCCTGACTTCAAGTCTTAAAAGTCAAACCTCTGTCTAGGGGTAAATTTCTCTACAAAATGCAGTTCTATTACAGCTTTTCACCTTCTTTTGTATCTAACTTGGAAAGAAAGAGTCATCTTTAGTAAAGTGACAGAAAATCCCATCTGCTCTGTTGGATTCCAAGCCAGACCGGGATCATATTTTATAAAAGACAAAATGCTTTGAATACATTAATATTTTGTATTTAATTAAAGGTCTACCTCTTGAGCTGTCCAAAAAAACACATCAGCATAAAAAACATTTGGCTCTGTAAAACCAAAGATGTCAGATAAAATCTCAGTGATGCTGTTCTAGGCAAATTTACACAGCAACTTACCATCAAAATGAACAATTATGAAAAAAATCAGACCCTTAAAAGAATTTGAATATACTGCCTATAGTTTAGGATGCTAAGTTACCAAAACCCAAACAAACATTTTGAACACCAGATAAAATAAATGGGCCTAATTGAGCTACCTTTCAGTAAGTTACCCACCATTATAAACCTTTATAGTTTCAAATGAGCAATGCAATTAGGAACTAATAGATTCTTTGACAAAATCCCTCTGTAATGACTTTCCCCCTCTTTGCCTACACAATAATTTGTACATTAGCTAAATATGGAAACTTCCTACATTTACTACAGCAGATGTGAACATGTCAGACATTATTAAAAATAACCCACATACTCCAGGTCATTGGAATGATCCTAACAAAAATATTTATCAGAATTTTAAATAGTCATAATTTATAATTCTCATCCACAGACAAAGCTGTTCAAAATAGAAAATTTTAGTGGAAAAATTAATTCATTAACTTCCATTCCAAAATTATGGCAAGTACAATTGTTAAAGATATTATTAACAGTAACATGTGGAATGACTAAATGTTTTTGGTATTTTTTTCTCTATAATTCTGTCATTTCTATTCTTCATATAAACAGTGTTTTTTCGGTAACTTGCAAAGCAAACATGTCTAAAATGTTAGAACATCTACATCTGTTTGATTTCTGAATGGAAACAACTACCTCTGCCTTCAATACCAATGATAAGCTAGGAGAGTCCCAGTGCCTCAGCTGGAGGACCATGGCTGTGAGAATATAAACTCCTAGTCAACTCTGAAGTTGTGTGGGAACTGCTGCTCCAGCTGGATGCCTAAAGTCTATGGGGTCTGATGGGATTCATCTGAGAATACTTGAAGAGCTGTTGATGTCATCATAAGGTCTCTCTCCATGATTTTTGAGTGGTCTTGGGAATCTGGAGAGCTCTTCGCTGACTGGAAGCTGGCTAAAATGTTGTCCCAGTTTTCAAGAAGGGCAAGAAAGAGGACCTCAGAAAGTACAGATCAGTCAATCTCATTTCTGTGCCTGGTAAAGAGGATTATCTTGGGATGTATTGAAAAACATCTGGAGGACAACACAGCCACTGGTCACAGCCAGGACAGCTTCATGAGAGGAGAGTCCTGCTTATCAAACCTGATTTCCTTGTATGGCAAGGATGCAGTTGACCAAGGGAAGCCAGCTGATGTAACCTTTCTGGATTTCAGCAAACCTTTTGAAAGTGTCTGTCACAGGATCCTTCTGGACAAACAACACATCATGTGATGGGTGAACAAATGGCTCTCGGGTCAGGCACAAAGGGCTGCAGTGAATGGGGTGACATCAGACTGGTGACCTGTCACTACTGGGGTTCCACAGGGCCCCATCCTTGGCCCTGTGCTCTTCAACATCTTCATAAATGACTTGGATGCAGGACTGGACACTGTTCACAGATGATACAAAACTGACAGAAGCTGTTGAACTCCCCTGAAGGCAGAGAGGCCCTGCAGAGAGACTTTGACAAATCAGAGATAGGCAATTCCCATCTTTATGAAATTCAACAAGTCAAAGTGCTGAATTCTGCCCCTGGGACAGAACAACGCTGGATGTACAGACTGGGGAAGGAGAGGTTGGAAAGGAGCCCCATGGAAAGGGACCTGGGGGTCCTGGTCCATGGCAAGTTGAACACGAGCCAGCAGTGCCCTGGCAGCCAGGAGGGCCAACCCTGTCCTGGGGGCATCAGGCACAGCATGGCCAGCTGGGCAAGGGAGGGGATTGTCCTGCTCTGCTCTGAGCTGGGGCAGCCTCACCTCCAGTGCTGGGGGCAGTTCTGGGTACCACAATTTGAAAAAGATATCAAGCTGTTAGAAAGCACCCACAGGAGTGTAACAAAGATGGTGAAGGGCCTTGAGGGGAAGCCTTACAAGGAGAGACTGAGGTCACTTGGTCTGTTCAGCCTGGAGGAGACTGAGGGGAGACCTCATTACAACTTCCTCATGAGGGGAAGAGGAGGGGCAGACACTGATCTCTTCCCTATGGTGACTAGTGACAGGACCCAAGGGAATGGCCTGAAGTTGTGTCAGGGGAGGTTTAGGCTGGATATTAGAAAAGGTTTCTTCATCCAGAGGGTGGCTGGGCACTGAAACAGGCTCCCCAGGGAAGTGGTCACAGCACCAAACCTGAAAGAGTTCAAGAAGCATTTGGACAATGCTCTCAGGCACATGGTGTGACTTTTGGGGATGCTGCTGTGCAGGGCCAGGAGTTGGACTTGATCCTTGTGGGGAACTTCAACTCAGAATACTCTGTGATTCCCTCAATGACTCTGTAACAGATATTGAAGACTTCTCCATGTGTCACATCTAAAGGGCGACCTATAGGTTTCCTGCAACTCTTTAAATAATGCAGGGGGCATTGCAAAGTCTTGAAATTCACTCTGGACTCCCCACTAAATTCAGTCAGCTACCAATGTAACACAACTATTCTCTATGAAACCCTTCTGATTCTTGTCTTTTTCTCTCCGTCTCTCCACACGAATCACATTTCCTATGAAAGCTGATGTCAATCATGAATGACTGTTTCTACTGGCAGGAAGAACTACCTGAAGTGATTAGACTGACTTGTCGCATTTGTAAAGCAAGAAAAACATATGTGCAAATAATGATTTTGAAGAAACTATCTTCTTTCAAGTCAACATTTAAAAATGCTACAGGATTTACCAGCAAACGCTGCTTACGTAGGAATTTTCTGCACCCCAGCTTTCTACAACAAAGCCATGGAAAGAGAAAGGGAAACTGTGTGGAACACAGATTCCTCACATGCAGGATTCCACGGGATATCATTTCCCTCTATTGTTTCCCTGTTTATCTCCACCCTGTGTGCATTTGCCAGCTTCTATTTGAGTGTGGTTACCTGGAGCCAGAGCCTGCAGTGTAGGCGAGGTGACAGCGATGAGTGTGGTTCCCTTACTCCCACACCGCTTTGCAACATCACATGAGAAAAAGTAAGATTCCTGACTTGCTTGTTCTGGCAATGCTCAAAGGAATGCTTTGCTCTGACTTTTATACCTGTATGCATGTTTGCTGAAACAAGAGGTGCCCGGGCTTTTCCAATCAGTGACCCCACTAAGCATTGCTGTGGAATTACAAGATGACCTGATGCTGCAATTTTAAGCAGTAGAAGACCCAGGTAGGGTTATGGGTCTCCTTTGAAGGAGGCATCAGGCTGAGGCTGTGACCACTCCTTGTGGTGGAAGATTCTCTTTCAAGCAGTGTCTTTTTAACTAAGTAGTATTGGCCTCAATCCATTGTGGGGATTGTACACTGCCTACTAAGGTTCCCTGGCAATTTTAATTGGGGAAAAATTAATTCTTCGCTTCCGATCTTGAACTATGCACAATTATAACCATATGCTCATGCAGCTGATATAGAAATATATATATAAACATAGATGTAACTAGAACTGACTCAATTTCCAGAGGGAGCAAAATTACTTCTGTGTTTAACTTTGTATGAGGTTGTAAAATGGTGTACAGTATTTTCGAATGGAGGATGTATCATACATCATATCAAAGGCTCCTAACATATGGAGAAATGGCTTTTGGCATGAAAGTTCAGTTTCTTTTCTAAAAAAGAAAACAGGAAAAAAGTTTCACACTATTAAGTGAAGGCTTATGAAAGCTACTTCTCTTTCGAATTTGTAACTCAACTCTCACCATTTTAACAGACAAACTGTTCAAGACAGTCTCAATTTTTTACAGTCTTTTTGGAAGAGTAGGTGATGCCTTTCATCCTCTGTCAACTGCTGCAATCTTTTATTTTAAATTCTTAGAAAGACTCTTTCTTCTTCCTGGACTTCACAGGAGTAAGTGAATTTTACAGGCTTGAACTCTGCAGAAATTAGGAACAGCTGGAAATAAAGGCTTAATAGAAACATGGACAAAACTTTTGACTGGGGATTTTGTTCACAGGCAGCTACAATTATT